ATACTAGAGCCATAAACCTATATAGGTTTTTAGAAACCGAAACTTGTAACGAGCTTGTCAATAATGCATATTCTTCTTTTGCTTTTTCACAGAAATATGAGAAGATAAATCATGGGTCTTAAGAAGAGCAATCAACTTCATAAAGTGATCATTATGTATTTTTCCAAAGAACCCAACATACTAAATGGAGAAGAATGCATCATACCAGAGGATTCTTGACTTTAACAAATATATCGATAACTGGGGTTTCCGGTTTCCTTTCTTGACTGCCCTTATTTTTTGTTGACCTGAAAACCATCATTGAAGAATGAATTGAAGAACCAACATATAAACTGAAGAAGAATGAATGGGTCCTCTCGTTTAAGAGAAAACCAATGTACGTACATTTTGCGACTACTACCGGTACATAGTCACATATTTACGACAAAATCATGTAGTCATTTAACAGTCCTTAATTACTGATTGAATTAAGACTATTGTTGGACACTAAATGTGTGGTCGTAAAACAATCACTGATTTGAGACTGTTTTGCGGCTATAGTTTTAGTCTGTAACTGTGGTCGTAAATCGGTCCCAAATTTGCGACCACTTTGAGACTCTCTTTAGGCGTGGTAATTCAGTCACAGTTTAGTAACTAAATTTATGTCGGCCAAGTTTATGTTGGCCAACCGAATTGTTATCTTAGCTAAGTGGATTTGCACAGAACATAATGACCCTTACGTCTCATGTTCGAGAAACATGTTTTATATTTAAAACATATTTTATGAAATATGGTTTATATAAAGGTTAATGTAATACACAACCTGATGGTTACCTTAGCTCATTGGATTTGAAACATATGTTTACCATTAACAAGTCTTGGGTTTGAGCCATAGCTCTACAATTTTTTTTTCCATATAATTACAATCGTCACAAATTACCCACAATTTTGCGACTATTTAGCGACGAAGTTCATAAACGTGTGACTGTTTTGCGACTATTTACCAACTTTTAGTATGAGTTTTGGCTAATTCAACAAAAAAATTGCAAGTAAAAAGATTAATTTACTGTACTAGGACAGACGTTAAGTACATTTACACTTGTTCTATCATATATAACAAAAACGTAGGAGTAAATTTCAATTTTAAAATTTATTTTGAAAAAAACCATAACATGTATTTCCAGATCTTCATCTTTTCATTTCTCTGTTCCGGTTCTCTCATTCTAACTGACATGGCTGGTGGAAAAGGCAAAACCGGTCGATTTGCTAGCTAGTAAATTGATGGTACATTTCTTGAGAAAATATATTCACTCTAGAGATATCCATATTTGGACATGGCATATACTCAACTTGAAGCGATTGTTGCTCCTCTGTTTTGGTCTAGCGGTATTTCTGTATAACAAAAGAATTTTGATCGTAAAAGTAAATCTTAGGGTTCTTGGTGAGATAATTTGAGAGTGAACGATTAGTGTGTGGGTTATGGTAGATAATTAATTTGTTAAAATGTGTTTTGAAGGGTGTAAAACACGATTAAACAAGTACTAGTGTATGTGGAGATTGTTTAAGTAATTGTCAATAATTAAAATATTATTGAAATTTCATGTTACAAATCATTGAATGGACTAGTGGAGTTTGGCCCATTTTATTTGTAGCATCCACCTCTACTTGTACTTCCTTGCATACAACTTTGACGGTTTATTGTTTTACTATTTATCCCTTTTTTTACGGTTTTATTGTTTTACTAGTTATCTCATTGCATACAATTTTGTAGGACAGATATCTATAGAATTATAGTTTGCCTGAAAGTTTTTGAAAAAAATTGGGTGTAAACAAAGCTGTGAATGTTTTACTATATAAGTCTAAGATACTTTTCCAATTATTGGAAGTTCTCTTCCGCATAATGACAATCAAATCCACTTTAAAAACTAGAAATCAATTCACAAGGGAGAGGCTAAACTTGGGAAATAAGGACGATGTATACTGTCACTAGGACGAGAAGGAGAATAAGAAAACTCGCGATAAAGAATGGAAGTAGGCTTCAGGGGTTGACATAGGAGGAGACTTTGAGAAGCGGAATTTGAGAGCATCACCTTGTGACCATTCTTGGAGATTGCGGTAAGTTTGAGGAGGTAAGAATAATCAGGATCATTAAACCAGGTAGGGTTAATCTTGTTCAGTTCAAAGGAGAACATCTTGTCCATTATCGATAATTCCCCTCCTCTTGTGTTGTGGTTGATGAGCCTCCAAGCATGCTGCATACCATCTCCATTTGTCTCTGAAATCCACAATAGACTACGATCATCGTCTATGCTTCCCATATGCATATCAAGAGATGCTGATGCATTGCTAATTGGATTTGGAACAACTCGAAACATCTCCATGTGAAGATCAAAAGCAATCAACTTGGTCTTCTCTTCGCTGAACCAATAAAGCCATCCGTTTGCAAAAGTTGGTTCGTGGTAGTAATCTATCCGATGATCAGGAGGAGGTGGAATCACGTGCCTCCATTGCTTCACACCGAAGTCGAAAACCTCGCATGATGATGTGTCCTTGTCGTTAATGTTGTGCAACCAAACTAGTTTGTAGGTTCCTGTGACCAAGTCTTTCCCGAATCCTGGGAGAGGGAGAGTTTCCTTGTTGTCTAAATCCTCTTTCTTGTTTATCACTCTTATCTGTGTTTTCAAGTCCGTTACGCCACAGAAGCAGACAAGACCGTCCAAACTATTGGAAACAAACACCGCTTTAATTTCTCTTTGTGTTCATCAACTGTATGATATTCGTCTTCTTCGTCTTCTTCCACTAGACAAGTCGATGACCACTTCAACGTCATTGTCTTTAGAGCAACGTTTGCTTCATACCAGTCGCTATCATTATAGAGAAATAAAATTTTTGGTTCATRTGTTTTCTGATGCAACATGTATCTCTCCTTGAAAGACTTGGACGTTATTATACGTCTCCAGTGTTTAGACACGGTTTCACATATAATTAGGGTTTTCGCTGGAAGCCTCACCRTAATTTCTTCTAACATATCRTCGTTGAATATTATCTCAA